CCAATTACGATCTTTCTGACCCTTGTCTCCTACCGATTATTGTTTTTTCTAACCTGCATCACCTATTATGGTCCTTCCGACCTCCATCACCAGACAACGGTCTTTCCGGTCTCCATCATGTCGACTATGGTCATGCCGACCAAACAAACATGTCTATATTGTAACTCCCACCATGTAATGTGCTATGTATGATGTACATTTGTATCATCAAGCCAAGGCCTTCTCCCAAGGAAGGGCTTCATTTGTAATTGACTACAAATACTAGTGGATTCATTCAAATTGGGCCAGGTCTCGTGGTTTTTCTCCCTTTTCAGGAGTTTTCATGTAAAAACTATGGTGTCTCTTATGAACGCTTCACCCTCTCTCTTAAATGATTGTGTGCTGGATCTTCGTACAATGCTAAGACGTTAAACTATATATTTCTCTACCACCGTGAATACTCTAGGATGCAACTATATGTATATAAAGGTTAAGTTAACCCAAATTTCAAACATTTTTGATAAAACATAAATGAATTTAATAATTTTTTAGACTTCGAGGCTTGTGCTCAGTGAAATTTATAAATCTTTACACTAACAAATATAGGCATATATCCATAATCAACTCCAATATGATAAAGTCTTATCATAACCTATTAATAATCATTCATCATCATTTAAACATACATCATGTTTATAATATGGTCAATTATATTTTTATGAAATCAATAACTTATTATGAATCAAATAGGCATGTGAATGGACATTTGGCCTCTTGGTTAGAGGAGATGGTTATATCTTCAATATTACGGATTCAACCTGCATATTTTATAAGTTATCACTTATCACTCATCATTTGAGGGGGAAAAAAATATTGGTTGATATTAATATGCAAAAAAGCCATGTGATAGATAGTTAATCATTATATCTAAAAGCTACAATTTTCTTGTTTCTGCATAATGTTGCAATATTTTTAGGTGGGGGCACAAATCATTGGAGTAAAAAAAACTCAATCTTTTTCATCCGATCTTGGGACTTGCATTGACGGTTTTAAATTTCTTCTATTAAATCGTTAGATTCATTATAAAAGGATAAAATATATGATAAAGTAAGAAAACTTACATATTATCTATAATTTCCACTACTAAATTAAAAATTAGTGTTTTGTGTATCTATGAAATTATCATTTGGAAAAAAATATAATTACCCCTATGCCATTTATCTGGATTTGGTGCTCTTTATTATGCAATAACTTTTAATTAAGTCTTTTTTTTTATTCAAGTTTGAATTGCAGTAGACATCTGATGATACTTTTTTTTTTAATGTTTGTTAGCAATGTCTACTTCTGAGACCAGGCGGGTTGATCTTTTTGACGCAAAGAGCATCTTATGTATCGCTTGTTTGAGAAAATTTCAGATCACAAAAAGACCAAAACATCTAAAGATTATCAATCAAGACACCCACGAAACTAACCATAGAACAAAGTTTGGAATGTAAATATAGAACCAGATCTGCTCTTCCTGCCATTCATACATCTATCTTATTTCTAGCTCATACTTAATTTTCTAAATTAAGGAAAAGAAGACCAAATGAGCTGTTGGGGTGTTGAACAAATACTTAAAATTCAAGTGACTGAAATAGTAAATTTTATTTCAAATTAGAATAAAAGAAAAACAAATAATTGATCATAAATAATTATATCATATTTCTCCCATGCAGATAAAATCAGAAGATTCAATACAAACAAATGGCACCTACCTCCTTCCACATGTCTTCCATGGCTTATACATTTTTATTTCTGTGCAAAAAATAATGGCCAGATAAGCTTCATTTTGATCAATAATTGTTTCTGCAACCATATCATGTGGGTCTGCTTGTAGCATAAGTCTACAAATGAATACTCATCATTTTTTTTTTTTTTTGAGAAAATCTATTAAGTGCACAAATCTAATAATTTTTTTTTCAAATTAATTTAATCTCAAAATATCACATTGTCTAAATTTAATCTCTATATTATATAAAATTAATTTAAAATAATTTCTAATATTATTATTGTGATATAAAATTTGGTCTAAATTTAGTTTCTTAATTTTTTAAAATTAATCCCAATGTAATCCAAAAAAGGATCATTTTAGATTAGTTTTATATAGTCAAGAGATGAAATTAAAGTAATATTATACTCTGCGATAAAAATAATTATTTCTGAATAATCGGATGATTATTTTGGAGTTTAAATATACCATTCAGTTCAAAAAATTAATAAAATTTCAGATTAAGAAAAGAGATAGCAATGAAAAAAAAAAAAAAAAATCTTGTGCGATTTTATTGGTAAGGAAGTACTCTGCACATTTTTCTACTTGTTTAAACAACTCAATCACCAAACTCATAACCAAAGTTTTCTTTGTAACGTTAACACATCAGTCATCACTCCCAAAATCCTAATTAACTACTAATCAATAATAATCAACTGGTTGGCTAACCTTTGCCTGCTTCGCATCCCGATCTCTCATTTATCTCTGTTTTGGATTCCGAGCATAAGAAGGTCTGTACTTGAAGACTCGTTCATATGTTCCCAGCGCGACTCTCTGTTCCGCGTTGTCTTCCCCACTAATTGGTTTTCTTACCATAATTGCTTTTCTTACCATATTTAAACTTCTGCACTCCAAAGATAACTTGGATGCTACTTTTTTGAGTCTTCTTATATTTTTTTAGTTATCTCCAATATCTCAAACATTACTAACATATTTAGTAAATAAATGTTGATGAGTTATCAATGCTAATTAAATAGAATATTTAGGAAATTTATAATAAGTATGCAATGGCATATAATAAAATGCTAATGATAAGAGGATAATCACAAAGGAATGACACTCATAAATTTTGAATGTGCATCCTATGACCCATCATTTTATGCATGTTGTGTTCATGATAATGTTTGGTGTGAGCAAAATGTGAAATATATGACGAGTCACATAAAAATCAGTCAAACATGAATGTTCATGTAAATTAGAAGAGGAATTCTTAAAATTCAACTTGAGTACCCAAGATTCAACAAATTTATAATTAAATTAATCGACTTGATGAGATAATTTCAATGACACCAAAAGTAAAATGAACCAAGTGATATGATACAAGTCCACATAAGCTTAGATCAAGCACTTAAAGCATAGTTAATTTTTTTAAAATATTAATTGAAGCACCAAATGATATCCAATTTTGACATGTTTATAATCAATTTTGGCGACTCAATGAGAAAAATCCAACAAGCCTGAGATCGTTTAATTCTAGCATCATTAAGATATGTAAATGTTGAAAGAATAATCTATGATCAATACAGGCTATCCATTGTAATGTTTTTTGAACTTTGGCTTTATGTACATGGAATGTCACCATCAAAACTTATAGATAGACCTCCACTCTGCACCCGAGGGAGAACCTTAGCTTGATGTTATAGAAAATTTAGAGGTTGAAAACAATCATGGAGCTCCAATACTGGAGTACCACTATCGTTGAACAACTATCATCAAACTAATGTCCGATCTCCATCATCAAACTATCACACAACTGCCGCATCAAACACCAGCCTAATTACCAATGTCATACCACTCGCACTTGACCTCCACCATCAAATTGTAACAACTTGGCCACTATCGTCCGACCTTTCCATTGTTGACCTCGATTTTTGTTTGAGAGCCCTTGAGGGTCTTTGGTTGATTTGATTGAACCTTGTAGGGCCTAGTTTAATCCAGATCAATGCCGAGTTAGGTCCAATTGAATCGGTTCAAATTCGATTCCATTAAAATCGACTTGATAAAGATCCAATTGAACTAGAATCGACTCGAAATTGGGTTAAATTAGACCTGATCAAAGTCGATTAAATTAGATCCATTCATTTTATTTGCATCAAGCTTGATTTGATTCGGTTCGCCGATTCATTTGAGTCTAATTTTGTTAATTTGGTCAAATCGAGTCAAACCCAAGTCGACCCGAGTTAGGTCAAGTTGGGTTCAGTCTAGGTCTAATTTCAGCCACATGAGTACTCATTTAATTCCTATTAAGAGTTTGGTTAACTTTCTGAGTGATTTGAATTTGAGAACTGAATCAAGAAACGGATCCAACGGCTCTAATTCCTCCAGAATACGAAACCTGTCGTGGCCAGACTTCTCAGTCGTGTGAGCCCTCGAATGGGAAATCCATTCGAACGACTTTAGTAGAAGCAGAGTGTCGCAGGCCGTTTTGGTGTCTTGAGTAGGAGCAATTATTAGGTCCTTTCACTGGAAGTAGAGGAAGGTTCGGTTTTAGGCAAAAATAGGTCAAAAAGTGCAAATACCTAATTTTTTGAAAAAACTCGATATTTTTTCAAAAAACTCGGTATTTACACTTTTTGAGGCAAAACCGAACCTTCCTCTAGTGCAAGACACTGGACCAAATAAAAGTTCCTTGAGTAGAGCGGAACGTCGGGAGACGTTTTAGAAGGCATGCACGAAGCCTTCGTCTGGCCGATTGGCATTAGCACTCTCACACTCTCGGTCTCCCGCTCTCGTTTTGGAAGCAGCCCAGGCGAATTCTCTCCGGTGGTGGCTCTCTGTCTGGCACGATTCCAAGGGAACCGAAGTTCCCTTGCTCTCCCTCTCTTGTTCGGGTAAGGGCCGAACTCCCCACTCCCTCGCTCTCGGGATTTCTCCTGTACGCAGAGGTCCCGACTCCTGGCCTCTTCTCTGGTTCGCGAATCCCAGGGGAAGCTGAGGCCGCCCTTTGGTCCCGAAGCCTCTCCCTCACGGAGCTCCTTCTCTCGCGTGATCAGCGAAACCGAACCAGCCTCTTCGTCCTCTCTCTCCGACCCGACGCCAGGGCCGACACCCTAAACTCCCGTCGCTCCTCGCACGCTAGAGCCGACGACCTCCTGCTCACGTCGTCTCTTACCCTAACCGAGCCCGACGCCAAGCCACGACGACGATTTAGGCAGGTATACCTCTTTCATTTGCTCTTCTTCTTCTTCTTGTTTCTTCTCACTACCACCTTCTTCACCATCATCTTCTTCTCCTTCTTCCTTTCTCTCATCCCTTACTTATTCTTCTATTCTTCTTAAAAAAAAAAAGGGAAATCTGAGAATTGCTTGGGTCTTTTTTTCTTCTTCCTTTTGTTACAGATGTGTATTCATGTGGTTGAGTTATTTATTATGAGAATCATTGATGGTTTTATGTGGATTATTTATGCAAATTTAGATCAAGTAGGTGTGGATCGAACTCTTCATGCTAGTTTGTTTTGAACAACCTTGCCAACATAGCATATCACTTGCTCGATGTAATGCCTTAGTGAGACTTCATTTATTTCTGAAACTTTGTTTCAAAAGGTTTTGAGCGGTTGATGTTTGAACTTGTGGGAATGGCTTCAATTTTTGTCATAATAGACTTGGTGATGCCTTTGACATCGTCTCCTGTTATCTAACTTCATCATGGTACTTGATTATCAAGTAATGTTTTAGCCTTTTTGAGAAAGGATGAAGTCATTGTTAGCCATGTTTTCATAGGAAGTATACAAAAGGTTATGTTGAGTTATAAATGATCAAGCTTTATGTTAATTTGTTTGAGCAACTAAATTTTAAATGCCATGATTATATTCTTCCAAGTCCATTTGAACGGCTATATTTGATGACATCTTCTCTTTATTCCCCTTCTTATCTTCTTTCTTAAAAGATAACAATGAATGTGGGGTTAATCCATTAAGTAAGGTTGCCGGCTCATTGTTTGGCTTCTATGGTAAACTCCATATGGATTTCGTTTGGATAAAACACCACCTTTTTTTTATAAGCTGTTGATTATGAAGATCAAGCCATATGAGGTTGTAGATTGTGAAGGCTCTTTTATATATTGCTTAAATGGCTTCATTCAAATAGATGTATAAATCATGGCTTTCATGGTGGTTTGTTTTGTGTGATTCTACAACTATTGCACACCAAGTATTTGGTGAAATGTCGTTAAGGAAAAGTCGTAACTGTTCTGCTCATATAGAGGTTCCATGTGATAGTCTCACACGTATGGATGCTTTTCCAAAATCATTGGTTGGAAGTTTAGAAAAGAAAAGAAAAAAAACTGAAAACGAATTTGTTTCTTGGATGAAATGTGTAGAGTTATAAATCTTCCTTTTATTTACTTAGCGCTTATAAATAAGTTTTGTATCTTTCAAAAGAGGTGAGCTCTCTAAGTTTATCTCTCATGCATCTAATTACCCTTCTTCCTTAAGTGGATGCATCTTGTTCCTCTTTTATTCGGTGAAGTTTTGTTGGTGTAGGGAATAGTGGTTCCACACAGATCTTTTATGTTGTTTTAAAACTCTTGGAGGTGATGAAGGATTTGTTTCATAATTGAAGAGTTGATGTAGCTTGACATTCTTTTAGTGGTTAAAAGAAAGGATCTATATGGTAAGATTTAACTTTTGAGGGATATTTATTGTTGTTGTTGTACCTCTTGGATTGAATTTTGATTTTTTACGCCTTACTCTATCTAGATACGAGCTTTATCATTATAACATGAGACATCACCCTTAACAAAAAGCATTGTTGTGAGCATATGAATTTTACCGTATTGGAAGGTTGGCCCAACATATGAACCGTTGTGGATTCTTTTTGCTTTTTGAATTATACACTTACAAACTCTCTTGAAACGTTTGACGATGCATAATATGGAGGTTGTTGGAAAGGTTACATATATGTGTTGATTTGTTATCATAAGATTTATTTAATGCAAGCCAAAGAAGTGAATGAGCACAAAAGTTCTGTAACTTTCTTTTACATACATTCAGGATCATTTGATGCATATCTTTTTTGAGGTGGGAAAACATGTATATGTTTTATGATTCTTCTGTAAGTTCGATTTGGTGTGATGAAAATTTTATGTTGGATATAGCTTTATGCGATATGAATTGTTATGAGCATGGGCATTTCCTTCACAATTTCTTTCTTATAGAGATGTTGAATATATGTTTCACAATGATTTTTTTTTCCTGGAATGGAGGTACTTGAATAAACTTCTTTCTTAAAACGAGCAACAAGTTTTATTAGTTACCTTTATATAATTGAGAAAAGAAAGCTAAAACTTTTTTTTTTATTTTATCATTGCACCTTTTAAGTTGAGATGACATTACTGAATTCTCTAACAAGCTTTATGCTTCATTAGTATCATATATTGAAGGTTGTCTCACGTATGGTTAAAAATGTTTTGATTAGAAAATCTTACATGTATGCTTGCACAGTTGCACTTTTACAACTCTGCTTACACTTAACTTGTTAGTATCATAATGAGGGTTTTTTAGAGAGTCTTCATGTGCTTCAACTTGGTTTAATAAGAGCTTGGCACGCTTCATGAAATAGTTTTGTTTTAGTTTTGGAATGAATTGTGAGCATCTTATTGGAAAGTCTTATGAACGGTTTTGTGTTGGAAAGTGTTACGAATTGCTTCATACGGGAAAAGTTTTACGAACCACTTTATATTGAAAAGTTTTGCGAATGTTTTATGACGGAGAGCCTTATGAAAATTTTCTTATTGAAAGGTTTTAATGGTTCATGCCAAAATATGAGAAAGCACTTGATTGTTTTTTGTGTCAAAAGAGTTTTGGTGTTTTGATTTTCTTTTCGATAAGAGTTTTATATGCCATTTCATTTGGAAGGTTTCTTAAGTCATTTTTGGGATTTATGGTTTTATGATGAGTTTTGTGTAGCAAGGTCTCTTTGATGTCTTTGCTTTAGAACGAATGATCTTGTTTATGTGGGTGATCTTCCTTATTTGGATTGACTTTCTTTTACTAGTGTTTGCTTCTAAAAGTGGGGTTTTGGATAAATATAAAAAAAGATGACTTGTTTTGAGTTTAGTTTTTGGGAGTTTTTTCCTTCCGCCGCTTTGAGCTTTGTTTAGATAATAGCTTAGTTAGTCGTGTTAAATGTATAAAGTACTTTTTTTTGGAATGTGGGGACAGCAAAGGGCATTGAAAATACCTTCTTCCTTATTCGTATCACATCGAATTGGGGAGAAGGTTGTTTTAGAGGCACACTTGGCTTCAAAGAAGCCCACAACAACAATGCTTACATTCAATTTCTAGCACCTAGGTCTTCGTAGCTTATTGTAGATGCCACCTTTAGGATTTTTCTTAAGTGGATACCCACTAACATAACGCAGACTCAACCCTATTATTCAATCTAAATCTAATGTGATTTCAGACATAATAATCTAATCAAATGCCATCGAGCCTAGTTGGGTTTGGGTCGATTTCAATCTAAACTCGACGAGTTCAGCCAAACATATTAAAATCTGCATTTTCTTTTTCTTCACTAATTACATTTATCAAGAATTTACTCAAATAAAATGTTAAAATCAATTAAATAAATTTTAAATAAATGTATCATTAATCAAGAAATTTAATAGAATAAATTTACTAAAAAGAAATTAACTTATTTAATGAAATTTAAGAATATCTACTAAAATAATTTGATCAAATCTTTAATAAATAAAGTAAGCTAAATAAATTATAACTCTTAATTAAAATTGGTTCAAGTATCATTGATGGGTTCGGCTAGTGCCGGTTCGAACCGCCCTTCCCCCACGACCTCCTCCTTATTTTTCAAAACCGCCCCCACTGCCTTCTATTCATTCGCAAAAATAAACTACCCAGCCCGCTCACTCTCTCATTCGGACGAAGCATCCCATGTCCCCTGCAGTTCGCGAAAAGCCCAGGCTCGTCTCCTCCCAGTTCGCGAAATGCCCTATGCCCCTCCCCCATCGCCAGCCCTAGCCGACAGAACCCCTAGACGCAGACCTCCTCCCTTCTGTCCGTTCCGCCCCAAGGAAGCTGAACAGAGACCTCATCCTCTCTCGCCGACTTGCCCTAGCCGCCGAAGCTTTTTGCTGTAGGTATATCTTATACATTCTCTTCTTTTTCTTTTTCTCAATCTTCTTTTTCCTTTCTTTCTTACATTTCATTTATATATTCTTTCCATTGCTTCTTGATAGAATGAAAGAGAGATGTGTCTTAATTGGTTTATTTAAAAAAAAATCAAAGAAAGTTGCTTCCATTTACTTTTTAATTTAAAAAGCAAGAGCTAGATTTACATTTTCTTTCTCAAGAAATGATTTTTTATATGGACTCACTTTATGTTAGGGTTTATAAGAGTGTATGGATCATCCCTTCTTTATGCGGATCGTTTTGTTCTTAACACAAATAATCTTGGGTTTATAAGTTTGATGGCAGAAGTGTTCTTCTTCTTATTCACTTTGAGGGGCACATTATTTTTGGCCACAGAGAATCAATAGAAGTCGAAATGTTAAAATCTTGCCTATAATCCGTTTGGTCTTCACAAATCTGAGAGATGTTTTGTCTGTTTAAGCCTCACTTATATTTGGTTTTTACAAATCTGCTAATACCTACACTTCTTGGTGATGAAATAGGTAATGAATGTTGTGCTCACGTTGTTGGTTTTCTGAGAATCTTGATGACAAATTGATAAGGTCTGTTGTCTTTAGTTTTAGTTGGAAACAGGATGGATTGGTTAATTGAAATCTATGTTGGAAAGTCTTTTGAACTATCAGATGAGCATGAAGTTGCAAAACTTTCTCTTTCTTGTCTCAGAAATTCATTTGACATAAGTTTTAAGTTGGCATGAATGAGTGAAACAAAGATTTATTGTTACACTTTGCCTTCAAGTTGAAATGTAAGAAATATAAGAAGTTTCCTTTATGAGTAAGTGGAGATTTGCAAGATATTCCGTATTGCTTTGTGTGGTGTTTTGGGAAAGGGAATGGTATAATTTTGTTTTACATTAAAAAAAAAAGAGAGAGAGAAGCAAGCAGTTGTTGAGAGAAAGGTGTATGTTGAAAAACAAAGAATGGTGAAAAGATATTTGTTTTAAAAAGTGTGTGAAAAGTGATTTGTGCTTGTATTGGAAAGTGTTTGTGTGTAAGATTGAGGAGTGTGTATTTCTAGTGGTATTTTAAAGAGGGTGATTGTTGAAGGGTGAGGTATTTTGGAGAGATAAGGTGTGGATGTTGGAGAGTAGATTAGTTGGGAGTCTACTAGAAAATGAAGTTGTTGAAAAACAAAGCTCTCTTTCCCTCTCTCTACTTCTCTCTTTCCCTCTCTCTACTAGACCTCATCCTCTCTCGCCGACTTGCCCTAGCCGCCGACGCTTTTTGCTGTAGGTATATCTTATACATTCTCTTCTTTTTCTTTTTCTCAATCTTCTTTTTCCTTTCTTTCTTACATTTCATTCATATATTCTTTCCATTGCTTCTTGATAGAATGAAAGAGAGATGTGTCTTAATTCGTTTATTTAAAAAAAAATCAAAGAAAGTTGCTTCCATTTACTTTTTAATTTAAAAAGCAAGAGCTAGATTTACATTTTCTTTCTCAAAAAATGATTTTTTATATGGACTCACTTTATGTTAGGGTTTATAAGAGTGTATGGATCATCCCTTCTTTATGCGGATCGTTTTGTTCTTAACACAAATAATCTTGGGTTTGTAAGTTTGATGGCAGAAGTGTTCTTCTTCTTATTCACTTTAAGGGCACATTATTTTTGGCCACAGAGAATCAATAGAAGTCGAAATGTTAAAATCTTGCCTATAATCCGTTTGGTCTTCACAAATCTGAGAGATGTTTTGTCTGTTTAAGCCTCACTTATATTTGGTTTTTACAAATCTGCTAATACCTACACTTCTTGGTGATGAAATAGGTAATGAATGTTGTGCTCACGTTGTTGGTTTTCTGAGAATCTTGATGACAAATTGATAAGGTCTGTTGTCTTTAGTTTTAGTTGGAAACAGGATGGATTGATTAATTGAAATCTATGTTGGAAAGTCTTTTGAACTATCGGATGAGCATGAAGTTGCAAAACTTTCTCTTTCTTGTCTCAGAAATTCATTTGACATAAGTTTTAAGTTGGCATGAATGAGTGAAACAAAGATTTATTGTTACAATTTGCCTTCAAGTTGAAATGTAAGAAATATAAGAAGTTTCCTTTATGAGTAAGTGGAGATTTGCAAGATATTCCGTATTGCTTTGTGTGGTGTTTTGGGAAAGGGAATGGTATAATTTTGTTTTACATTAAAAAAAAAAGAGAGAGAGAAGCAAGCAGTTGTTGAGAGAAAGGTGTATGTTGAAAAACAAAGAATGGTGAAAAGATATTTGTTTTAAAAAGTGTGTGAAAAGTAATTTGTGCTTGTATTGGAAAGTGTTTGTGTAAGATTGAGGAGTGTGTATTTCGAGTGGTATTTTAAAGAGGGTGATTGTTGAAGGGTGAGGTATTTTGGAGAGATAAGGTGTGGATGTTGGAGAGTAGATTAGTTGGGAGTCTACTAGAAAATGAAGTTGTTGAAAAACAAAGCTCTCTTTCCCTCTCTCTACTTCTCTCTCCCCTTTTTACTCTCCCTTTCTTGTGCCTCGGGGTGAATGTTGGAAAGATATACAATTTGCTTTAAAAAAAAAGAAAGTAAAAGGTTTCAAAAGCAAAGACAACAAAACCAGTGTTTAAGCCCGAAAAAATGTACGTTTATATTTAAATTATGATTTCAATTGTTTTAATTATAATTATTTAGTGTGCTTCTAATACATGTTTTCTCTTCTTTATTTGCATGAACTGTGAGGAATTGTATCGGTCGAGTGACCAAAAAGACAATGGACTAAAGGCATCAGTCGCCTCCATCCGATCGGGTGGAAGTGCTACGGGCGGAACCATCGTGTCGTAGCCCCCGGTGACTGTAAGTATTCTAAAACTTAGAAAACCCCTAGGAGGTCCTTGATGTGGTTTGTGCGAACCCTTTTCCTTTAGATCCTTGTAGTAACTTCAATTTTAGTAGTATTATTTTTTTATCTTATTTTAGATTCTTAAACCCCTTTACACATGCACAATGTCCCAAGGGTTAGTGATAACAAATTTTTTCATCCCATATAACATTAGTGATATTTAAGGACAAAATTTAATGACTGAGTTTTAAAAAATTTAGACTTAGGATGCATGCATACTTTAGGATAGAAACATATAACGTAGAAAACTTAGTGACATCACACCTTAGAATTAATGAATATCTTTAACCTAAATACAATCAACTCTAAATAATAATCAAACAATTATTAAAATTCTCTTTTAAAAATACTACTAGCTATCCCCCATTTGCTCCCAATTTCAACACACAACGACTAACTCGCCAAATCTACAATAAAATTGGCCATTTCGCCCTCTCTTGCTTGCATATATGTAATCTTCAATATGCCCCCTCTCCTTCATGGACTATGAGAGCTCTACTATCACATCCCCAACCTCCACTAACCACTGAATGTGTCCTGACCTCTATCACATATACACATATAACTTATGATGCCCACAACCTGCAACAATCCACTACATATCAAGGAACCGGCTCAATCTCTATTGCCAACGGCTCCTCCCTTCCCATTAAACATAGCGGCCAAGGTATTCTTCCCCTACCAGATCCAACTCGTAAGCTCCGCGTTCTTAACCTCCTTCACGTCCCTTCCCTCTCTCACAACCTCCTTTCTATTTTTTTAGCTCACTTCAGATAATAATTTCTACATTTCCTTTAATGCAAACAGCTTTACCATCACTGATCTTCAAGACAATCGTACTCTTCTCTGTGACAAATTCTACGATAGACTTTATCCCATTCGAACAACATCTCCCACCATTCCAGCTCTTCATTCCAAACTCACCTCAATACCACTTTGGCATACACGCCTCGACCATCTTGACAACCGAGTAGTGTCTATTTTATCTAGGTTAATTCCTTATTTATGTAATTCTCCATATTCATTTCTCTGTCAATCTTATAAAGTGGCCAAAAGCCACAAGCTAGCTTTTCCCAAAAGCTAAAATCATGTTACCAAACCATCTTGTTACAAATATCTTAGAATTAAGAATTACTATGGAGTCTCCTCACCCCAGCCCTTCCAATAGTCATCTCTCTCTTCTCAACATTGCTAATCTTAAGCTCGTGCTTTCTTAAGATCTGTTATAAAGATAAAACAGACAATTGAGTAATGTGGAGGTCATCTGTCAAAAAAATTGAGCTTTTCTAACAAATCCTTCATCTAAGTTTTTATCTTTCATTGCTAACTTTGGATTGATTTCTTCAAAGCAGGATTGTTGTACTTCATACTTACACTTAGTCATACAAGATACATTTTTGTTATCTCTTTTGCACATTTTATACTTTTTTATAGATTTTATAACTTTTAGAGATTCTTCTTTGATATATAATATTTATTTGTTGTAGCAAAAAAAGTGAGGATGTTGTGGTTGTATCAATATATTTTTTTGCTTTTTCTAACTTGAAGTAAATAATTTTTAATTTTTGAATGTTATTGTATAAGTTGTGCATGCATCATAAAGAATTGAAATAACTAATGAATTTCAATACTGAGCTAAGAGGAAATGTGAGAAAGCTAAATAATTGATTAACAAACTTATCTCCAAGCTCCACACACATCACCTTGTTATTTGTTTTATTCATGAGTATGATATGTAACTTCTCTGTTTCGAATTGTGCATTGCATTTGCTTTCTAAATATTTCATATTCATTTCATCGGTAGTAGATCGAATGCACAAATTAAAAAAAATAATTTTTTGTCAGCAATTCCTTTCATTTTAGTAATTTTTTTAGTAAATTCAAAAGCTGAAAAATCATTAAATTAAAAAATTTCTTGAACAAATCATATGTTGTTAAGAGTCTCAAATGAATTTAAAAAAAAAAGAATTTTAAGGAAATATATTTTTTTTTTCAAATTTTAAGGTTCTTTTATTCATGAGATATAAATCTTTATATCAAACTCATTCAATATATCATAATAATGTGATACTGAAAGTGGTTTGACAAAAAAATTATCGGTTATTATGAACTTGATACTATTTTTCTTAACAAATCCTCCATCTTATATTGTTATAACTTTTTTCACATCCCAACTTTATTCATAGCCTCTCCATAATAATGACATATTGTGTCCCTAACATTGGAGTAATAACATATGGAGTGTGATACACAATCTTTCATTTTTGTAGTGATAGAATTCTCTTGGGTTAAGATCGTCATCCATATTGTGCTTTAAATAGGGGTGTCAATATCTGACACGACCCGAAAACCCGACCCGAAAATTTCGGGTTAGGGTCAAATCGAACCTGAAATGGGTCGGGTTCGGGTTCAGCATTTCGACCCATTTCAAAAATAGGGTCCGATTCGGGTTAGCCCTTTGACCTGAAAGTGACCCGATTTTGACCCGAAAACCCGATTTTGACCCGGCAACCCAAGAATGACCCGAAAAGAGGAGATTGACCCATTTTTGACCCGAAAGTTAGACATTTTCTTGTTGGAAACGGGTCATTCGGGTCGTGTCGGGTTGACCCGGACCCGAAGCAAGTCGGGTTCAGGTCAAGAAAACTGACCCGTTTTTAAAAACGGGTTGGGTTCGGGTTGACCCGAATAGTGCCGGGTCAGTTTCGGGTTCGACCAGAACCCGACCCGTGACCCGAAATTGACACCCCTAGCTTTAAATCCTCATAATATTTTTCAACTCTGCAAAATTTGGCTCCCCAGTATTATTGGTCGTCAGGTTTCTCAATGCTGTCATAAAGGTTGTCAATAGATTACAAGAGTTTAAATCAGAGTTTTTTTGAGAGAAACTTGATATTGCTGCCTAGTGGTAGAGTTAGGAAGCTCAAGAGAATGTGAGCGAAGTTGGTACTAACTTCTCCAAACAACGCTCATTTCTTCTCATTATCCATCAAAACTTTCAAAAATAATTTTCTCGTCAGCCATAAATGAAAGGTTCAGAATAAAAAGTTTTGTTTGTCCAAATTAGAGATAAATGCATGAGAATAATAAATAACATATAATACTGCAGGTAATAATAATATAAAACTACCCAAACCGATAATAAGGTTTATTACTTGTTTTTTATTACTTGTTGCTTTCTGTTCTCAGGCATTCATCTTTGATCTAAACAATTAGAATCTTTATTCTGAGCCTGCCATCTATAGCCGACGAGACAAAACTATTTTTAAAGATTTTGGTGGACAATAAGATGAAATGAATATTTTCATCTATAGTCGACGAGACAAAACTATTTTTAAAGATTTTGGTGGACAATAAGAAGAAATGAACATTTTTTTGGAAAAGTCAGTACCGACTTTGTCCATATTCTCTTGAGCTTTCTATCTCTATTTTTGGGCACTATTTTCAAGCTTATCTTCAAAAACTCTGATCTGCAGTCTATTGACAACCTCTATGACAACATTGAGAAGTTTGACAACCAACAATACTGATGGACTAAGGCTTGCAGCAATATGCTTCTTAGCCCTCGTAGTGCAATCGAAGAATATTATGAGGATTTAAAGCTTAAGATGGATGACGACTCTAATCAAAGAGAGATTTATCACTGTAAAATAGAAAACTCATATCACGCTTCATATGTTATTTCTCTTATGTTAGGGATACAAGATGTCATAATTATGGAGAGGCTATGAATGAAGTTTGATTGCTAAAAAAAGTTAAAATAATAGAGGATGATGAAATATTTATTAAGAAAAATAATGTCAATTTTATAATAACTAATATTTTTTTTGTCAAACCAGTTTCATTGTCACACTACTATGATATATTGAAATAGTTTGATATAGAAAATTTATCTCTCATGGAGGAGAGAACCTTAGAATTCGGAAGAAAAGAGATATTCATTTCATTTTTTTTTCAAAATTCATTTGGGGCTCTTAACAACATAGGATTGACTCAAGAATTTTTTTTTTTACTTTGGTGGATGCTTTTTTAGATTTTGAATTTGTTAAAGAAATTACTAGAAGAAAAAAATGTTCTGACAAAGATTTGTTTTCCTAATTTGTTCATTCAATCAACTTCGGATGAAATGAATATCAAAATTTTTAAAAGCAAAGGTAATACATAGTTCAAAATAGAGAAATTACAAATCATACTCATTATAAATAAAATAAAAAATAATGTGGTGTGTGCAGAGCTTGTAGATGAATTTGCTAATCAGTTATTTAGCTTTATCAAATTTCTTCTTAGCTCAATGTTGAAGTTCATTGGCTATTCCAATTTCTTAGAATGCATGCTTAACTTATACAATAACATTCAAGAATTAAAAATTAATTGCTTCTAGTCAGAGGAAGTAAAAAGCATGTTAATATTACCACAACTTTCTCACTTTTTTTGCTACAACAAACAAGCATTATATATCAAAGAAGACTCTCCAAAAGTGTTAGAATTTATGAATGAGTTCAAAATATGCAAAAGAGATAATAACAATGTATCTTGTATGACTAAGTGTAAGCTTTGAGTAGAATAATCATGTTTTGAAGAAATCAATCTAAAGTTAGTCGAGAAAAATAAGAATTTAGATGGAGGATTTTTTAGAGGCTCACAATTTTTTTGGTAACAGATGACCTTCACATTACTCAATTATCTATTTTATCTTTCGACCATATCTTAAAAAAACATGAGCTTAAGGTTGACCATCATGAGAAGAGAGATGACTATTGAAAGGACTGATGTGAGAATTCTCTATAATAATTCTTAATTCTAAGATATTTGTAACTAAGCATTTGCATTATTATTGCAATTTATCATGATTTGACGAAGAAGAATGAGAATTGAAGAAAAGCTGCCGCCGCTGCTGCTACGATCCCTTTCATCCTCACTCATAAAATCCTTGTAGCCATGCTGGTATCCAAAACAACACTTAGTGATGCACTCTTACCTTATCTATGACAAGTAGGCGATATTGAATAGTTTTTTGTGCCTTTAGAAGGGCATTTTTTGAACTAATTTGGAAGTGCTAATCTATTGAATCGATAAGAATTGGATAATCATTAACTTTTTCTAACTAATTTTGTGGAAATTATGTGATCTATTTTCAGTTCCATGTTTGCATGCAGCAATTTTCAACCAATTATTTTTATTCTACTTGATATTTTTATTTAAATAATAATAATAATAATTTAAGCATGATAAATATAGTGTGAATTAACATTAGTGGGGGAGAAATCACTCTAAAGAAAATGACAATTTTTTTTCTTTTAGTCCTTTATAAGCTTAGTATAGTTAGGAAATAAACACACTATCATTTTTGTGGGATTAACAAGTTCTTATTTTACGCATGACACTTAATAATATTTGTTTGATTTAATGTAAAATAGATTATCAAAGTATTCATAATATAGGAATTTTAAAAATATGGTGTTTCCTCTGTAGTAAAAGAAATGTAGTGTAAAATTTTGAAGCGTTCAAAATTCATCATCAAGTTCAATTTTGGTGTATTTGAAAATCATTAAATTTGACTAGTTTCTAAATGCATCTTAAATCTTTTCCATTACCATTGCAAGACACCACCGCTGCACCACCTCTCTCACCAATCGATTCCATAGCTACTACACCTCCAGTTGTCCACCACACTCTATAGGTCATTGTCATCGCCCCTGTTTAAAATTGCGCAATTAGAGGCGCGCCTCTGCGCAATTCTGCCCAAAAACGCCTCATAGCCTACGCAATTTTGGGCTTTCAAGAGGCGTACGCCTCACTGGGGCTGAGGCGCGCCTCAGAGGCGCAATTGCGCAACTCATTGTGAGGCGTACGCCTCTCTGGGTAGGGTCCACTCATTTAAAATGAGGTCTTTTTCTCTCCTTTAACCCGTATCCTTCAGCATACCCGACTTTTCTCCCTCCCGCATGCTCCAGGTCGCGATTCCGAGCTCCCGCACGCGGTCGGCCTTGCTTCCCGCCGCTCCTCCCGCCGGCGCCGCCTCTCTCCGGCGAAGTGGAAACTTCCGGCCACCCTCAAGGAGTACTCCACATTGGATTTTAGGTATTTTTATTAAGTTTAGGGATATATTTTGCAAGTTTAAGAGAAACTAGGGTTTAGTTTTTTTTGATTTTTTTTTAATGTATTTGATTTTTTGCTTTAGGAGACATGGTTAGAGGTAAAGAAAAGACGAATATTTTGTGATTTTGTACTTTGGTACATAATTTTATTGCATCTACTTTCTTATTTTCCACTATTGCTATTATTTTCCTGCTAAAATCCTTAATTTTTCATTTACGCAATTCTGTGTTCGTGAGGCTTACGCCTCAGACCGCCTCGAGGCTTACGCCTCGCCTCACGGACAAAAAACGCCTTGAGGCGCAGTTACGCAATTTTAAACCTTGGTCATCGCCATCGTCGTAGCTCGCTAGCTACTAGCCACCATCATCATTGTGCTTTACGCAAATTCATTTTACTCAAATCAAGCAAAAAGAAATGTAGTGTAAAATTTTGAAGCGCTTGAAATTCATCATCTAGTTCAATTTTGGTGAATTTGAAAATCATTAAATTTGACTAATTTCAAAATGCATCTTTAATTCTTTGCCATTGACACTGCAAGACACCACCGCTGCACCACCTCTCTCATCGATCGATGCCATAGCCACTGCACCCCATTGTCCACCACACTCTATACTAGCCACCATCATCATTGTGCCTTACACCAATTCATTTTACTCAAATCAAACAAAATATTGAAATCATCTACATTTATTTAATACTAATCCAAAACAAATTAAAAATTTCAAATACAGTCCATTATTTTTAGTCTCAATTCCATTTTACTTTTTATTCCTTTTTCATTCATTCAAATAGTCTCCAATAGCACTTGTTTTTAGATCCAATAAATCCTTACCAACATTTAAATAATTTCTCCAAATTTTAAATTATACAACGCAAATATCTATGAAATATATAAATGTAAATAATTTGATATCCATTAATTTTTAGTCTTAGATATTTTTATTTAAGATTGTTTAATTTTATTTTATTACATACATTGTGTTTTAATTTATTTTATGAATTTTCTATGTTATATAGGCAAGTAATATAAAAACATTTTCTTTTAACTTATAAAATATTAAATCAGTTAATGTATTAGGTTTTTGGGATTGTAATACCCACCCTACCAGGTTATTCAAATTAATAATACTATATGTAATAAAATTTGAATAATTATTTTATTGAATCAAATACAGTTTATTCCAAGTTCAATTTTCATTCTGGTTTATGTATAATTCTTAGTGAGGATTTGCATTGATATCTAAGGTTATTTTTTCATAAAATAAAAGAATGTTTATATGAATTTTCAAGGAAAAAAATTCCACTGTAAAAAAATACTTCCAATACTCTCCGAGCTTTTTGCTCTTTTATTGTAATTTGATAGGGATCTATAACCATTTAGGTTTTTTGTTTTCCCATTAATTGTAGCTCTTTGAGCGTGTTGTGAGTGTTGGATCCCTCTAAAGAATTGTAATTTTTTTTTTTTATATTAATAGGTAAGCCATTTGTGGGTTTTAACAAAAAAAAAAAAAATTAAAACTCACACAACATCACATACACAAGCCTTGAATCCAAAACTTCTAGGTTGGTAGCCAAAACTCCCTGCTCACCAAGCTTTTTGAACGAAGTAAATTGTGATCTAGCACAAAATAATTGTAGGGAGTGCAAATTAGTCTTTTGTATAGTTACAATGCTTTTAGAAAAGCATTGAAAATCTTATATGAGTCATATGGATAATAATAAAAAAATTGCTCATAGATTTTTCAAAATTTTAGCTTTTCCAATTACCTAATTTTGTCTAATTGATTTCAAAGCTTTGTAAGAAATGTAGTGAATCTATGGGAGAAGTAGATGTTAAAACTCAAACAGAGAACAATCAATAATCTCATGCAAAAATAGAATATTCTTCTTGTCCTCTTGTTACATATTACTCTTCTATGTAGTGCTGTTAAAATCGGGTCACTGGTCGGGTTCGGGTTTAACTCAGAATTGAACTTATCTGAAACCGATCCGTTTGTGCTGACGGGTCACATTTTTGGACCCAAACCCGACCCACTTCGGACCCATGTCAACCCGACATGACCTGCCAACTAGGGCCAGAGGCGAGCGAGAGGCGAGGAGAACGTGTTGAGCCGCAGGCGTCACGGGCTTTACTTCAACCTCCGCCGACAGTGGGCTGGAGCGGATGGCGGTGATGGAGGCGGTGACGATGGTGGCGGCAGACGTTGCAGATGGCAGAGAGGATGGTTGTGATGGCAGAGGCTGCGACGGCAGAAATGACGAAGGAGGATATCGTGAAGTGGGTGAAGACTGAAGAGGCAACTGCAGGTTATAAACGATTTATTTTTTCCTCCACACCAATCGTTACTGCATCGGCTTCGCTTATAGTAGGTTTTGAAAAAGTCATAAATATGCTTCTTCACCTCACATTGTTCCTGTTTGATCGGAAGCAATTGAAGGAGCTACTATAGATTTCAGGCCTTGCAAGGGACAAAGCTCTCAAGCTGACTGGAGGTGGTTTATTTTTTTAAGAATATGGGCCTTCCTAAAGCTGCAGCATGTAGTGAGGTTAGGGGTGCAATTGAGTCAGGCCGGCTCGTGAGCTGGCTCGGGCTCGACGAGTCGAGCTTATCGATCTTGCGAGTCGAGCTCGAACACAATTTCGAGCTCGACGGCTTAATGAACCCGAGTTCGAACACTCCGCTGCTCAGCTCGAGAGCTCGTCGAGTATCTCGCGTAGCGGGAGCAGGATTTGATTCGTTGGCGGGAACGAGATTAAATTCGCAGGCGGAAGAGGGATTCGATTCACAGGCGGGAACGGGCTTCGATTCGCAGGCGGGAGCAAGATTCGTAGGTGAGAGTAGGATTCATAGGCGGTCGACGGAGGTTGACGTAACTCGGGACGACGAGCCGGATTCGCGGACGAGTGGGATTTGCGGCTTTGACAAGGAGACGATGGTTGATGGAGGTCTACGTAGCTCGAAATGACGAGCGGGATTCGCGGACGACGCAAGAGCTTGACGAGGCGCTTGACTTGATTCGTTTCGTGAGACGAGCCGAGCTCGAGCTCGGTATTTGATAGTCGAGCCCTACTTGAACATCCCTTGGCTCGAGCTCGACTCGACTCGTTTGTACTCCTAAGTGAGCTCAGATTACGGAGATCTCTTGTTCGAATTTTTTTTTAACTCAGTCTGGGTCAACTTCGAATTAGCGGGTTGATCAAGACCCGATCCATTTTTTCAAACGGTTCGAACCCTAGAACCTGAACTTGACCCTTTTGTGAAACTGGTTGATCCTAATCCAAAATTTTTGGATTAAGTTCGAATCAAATTTTCAGATCGTGACAAATATTGACACCCTTACTTCTATATAGCTTTTCCGATATTTCCTGTACTATAACTAATTACTAAAGAAAGCCAAAATAACTAAAAGTGCCTTCTAACACTATCATAACAAAAAAAAGTAACGAGGATAGTGGAATGCAAATACAGTTAACGGAAATATATTCAAAGGTACACTACTCGTTAAGGTGTATTCTAGTTATGATGCTCCGCTTCAATAAATTTTTAATAGCTTTTAACACGTATTTTTATAGGCTTTTTAAAGCTAATTTATAGGCTTTGTAACATTAGAGAATTTTAGAATCTAGTTAACAAGATTGTTGAAGCCCTTGATTGATTTTGACAGCTTAGTACAGCTTTTATCAACTTTATAATTATTTCAACAGCTACTTAAGCTTTTTGCAGCTTTATATAGAATCAAAATTTATTTTTTGAAAAAATTTGTGCGAGCCCGTATATTAATGAAGAAGATTACATAAAAATCCAAAAAATCCCAAAAAAAAAGGGAGGAAGGTCGAAGGAGTTCAAAAATTACAAGTGAAGAAAACCAAAGCCTATAACAGCAGAAAACCAAAACGACTGCAATAACCCAAAAGAAGATAGAATAATGCGAGGCAACCCAGCTAGCCAGGACTCAGTTAATTGTTATCCGTCAGCATGTCGATTCGCGAAGAGAATCCCTGGTTGCCCAAAGATCATCCAAGGAATAGAAAAATAGAGGGTAGAACGTTGTCGTCACTGTCAGCACCAAAATTCCACTCCAGATAGCCAAACCAAGGCGGCAGCAGCAGGGAGAGAAAATTAACAAGCCAATCCCAAAAGTTCCTCACAATTTTCCACTTACTGACATAAGCGGATACCACAAGATAATATTGAAAACAGTGGAGGAGAACCAAAACTAACAGAGCATCCACAGCCACAGCAACCCAAGGGAAGTCATGCTTGATTACAGCAAATCCAAAAGGTAAGTAGAAATTTTCCACTTGCATATTTTATCAAACACAGCTCTTTTAATTTTGATGGAGGTGGTGTTACTGATATTCATCTGATCACCAAATTTTCTTTCGTTTCTTTACCTCCAGATATAATAAATAGAACAGCAAGCAATGAGGAATAGAAGATTTTTAACATTTTTCCCTGGTAAAACATAGTTTTCCCGAGTCCTTCAATCAGAATTTTTTACTGTCCTTAACAAATTGCTAAATGTTTTGTTTTATTTGGCTATATATATCTTATCCTTCTCGTTGACTTCAACTCCAGCAAAGAAAAATAGCAAGCCTCGAGAGGTGAGCAGAAGAAATGGTGAGCTGAGCTTGGTCAGGGAAGGCGAATCGACTGCTTCGAGTAGCGATTGGGAGTTCAGATGGTGGAGAGGACTGCTAGGTTCCCAATGCTTACACTGATATAAATGGTCGGAAAATTGTGGTTGGAATGTAATGGTTGAAGAATTGTAGTATATTGATGTAGATGGATGGCTTTCGTTGGTGGTTGAAGGATTTGGATTGAAAACATTTTGTATTAATTTCAGGACCATTGAGACTATGATTTCACTTAGCTTATAGTTCAAACGAAGTACATCCGACAAAATGAATGCTGCTTGACAAATTTTGTATATAATAACTAAATGTTAAGAATATTGATACACTTGTATGTAACGCCCTCTGTGATGATGGCAGAGAAAATTTTTCAAGACGTCAGCTGTACATATATGCACGTATCAGCTCTTGAATAATCTTTCTAAGTATTATTATGGCCATCAAAGTTTGGTAGCCAATGGAGTAGAATTATGAATTTGATCATATATTCAAAATCTTATCTCTCTTTTTTTTTTTTTTGAGAAAATTTTATGAAGGCATCAACTGTACATATATACACGTATCCGGCAGCATATGGCCATCAAAGTTTGGTAGCCAATGGAGTAGCTATAAAGTTAGAAGAAATCTGAGTTTGATCATATATTCAAAAATCTTTTTTTTTTAATTTAAAATAATTCTAAAATTATGTATATGTATATATATATATGATATGAAAATTTTTATAAATAATTCCTTATTTCTCTTGAGATGGGACATAAGAAGAAGATAAGAAGAAGGGAAGGAGGGAAGAAACTCCTTGACCATCGTCGGGATTCTGCCCGACTTTCACGAGACGTTGGAATTCTGTCCAAGTGATACTAGAATTCTGCATGACTTTCAAGTGACACTGGAATTCTGTCGGACTTCCAAATTAAGTTGAAATTCCATCCGACTTTCTAGTGAAGCTGGAACTTTGCATGATCTCCAATTGACGTCGGAATTCAGTCTAATCTTCGAGTTACTCTGAATTCATCTTGAACGCATAACTTGTTAGTAACTGGATTTAATTCTAGAAGTTAATCATTGTAATTTGATCGTCCTAAATTTTAAGGAAGAGTCAGACTTGTATCTCAAGCAAATATTAGTGGAATTCTTTCAAGTGAGTGTGACCCCCTGTGATTTTTTTCCCTTTCCATGGTTTTTCACGTAAAAAATTTAGTTTTATTTCATCTTTTGTTTGTGTACTAAAAATATGTACAACGCTAAGACGAAAATTTTCTAACTATATCGCCGCGTATATTCTAGTCCGCAACACTTTCTCTCTCTCTCTCTCTCTCTCTCTCTCTCTCTCTCTCTCTTTATATATATATATAAAGAGACATTAAAGTAGGGAAATTTTTTGTCTTAGCATTGCATGAGTATTCTACACATAAATAAAGAAAAAGAAACATCATGGAAAAATTACGAGGACCAAGCCAAGTTGAGATGCTTCAATTAGTGTTTGAATATATTATAAATGATTGGTACGTCGTTAAAGTTGAGGACGACCATATAATAATAGTTAACAGCCAGGTTCAAATCTAATGTTGAATAGGGATCAGACGGAGGGCCGACGATGGTCAGTGATCGAGCAAAAATCAAGTGTTAGTTGGTGGCCGAATGAAAGTCCAACAATTGCTAGTGGTCGGATGGAAGTCCAGCAATAGATAATTGTCGAGTGAAAGTTCGACGAGAGCTGGTTGTCGGGCAGAAGTCTAGTGATAATCGGTGACCAAGCAGAAGTCCATCGACAGCTAGTGGTCAGGCGGAAGTCCGACGACAAATGGTGGTTGGGTTGAAATTCGATGACAGTTGATGGCTAAACAGTGGTCGATGAGGAGTCTGGTGGCAAAAGAACTTTTTTCTCTTCATTTCCTCTCTTCCTTCTCTTCTTTCATTCGTTCCCCATCAATCAGGAATGATGAGCCTATGTATAATTTTTTGGGAGTAGCATGATCAATTAATATGGTGAAGATCAATGACATATTATGAGTGTTTTGAATGGACGGCCGATATCATCTCCCTTGATCGTGTTTTGTTTATTGAATATTGGAGTGTCTTAATGAAATCATAATTCATTGATCTTCGTTCGATTTGTCTCAATGAGCCACTCGATTTGACTATAAGCATGTCACACTTGGAAATTGCTTGGTCATAAAATTTATGGTTTGAACCTTCTAAAAGTTCATCGGGTCTTCGATTTGGACCCATTTAAGCTCGATTTGGGTTGAATTTAGTGTTGCTGGGTTTGTTTTTTTCAAGATATTTAGTTCGACTATAAGTTTGTTAAATTGGAGTTCAAATGATCCCACATTTAATTTTGGAAGTTTCCAACTCCATTTTGTATTGAGATTCATGCCCAATCATGATTAATTTTTTATTATATATATATTACTCTTTTTTCGTTATATTCATTCAATGTTGATTTCATGATAATTTAGTGCTCTTCTAAATAATGCTCTATGTGAGAAGTTGATCGGCCAAAAGTTGTTCAAAATTAAACCGACCTTTGGCTCTGATATGTTTTGAAAAAAAAATAAATGAGGCAGTGTGAAGGGAATTAAGATTGCATTAAACTATCTGCATATAATCTGTGAACTTTGAAACTGATCAGACGGTTCTAAACCCTACAGCAGATGGAAGTTGATCGGCCTTCTGCTCTCTTCCCAATTAAGTGCTGGATTTTATGATTTTACTTCTTCTAGCGTATATTGAGATTCCAACAGTCACCATTGGAGAAGTATTAAAAGAGAAGTGGATCTCTTCTCTTACAAGCGGAACCCTCATTCTGCGCATGCGATCCATGGCCAAGGAGGAAGAATTGTCTTTGAAGGTTTGGGTTGACAATGGGAAGAAACGCGCGGTGTTTGGAGAAGCCAGTGGCGACTTTGTCGACATTTTCTTTAGCTTCCTGACTCTACCGCTGGGCACTATTGTCAAGCTTCTTTTAAAAAACTCCGGCATGGGATCTATTGATAACCTCTATGACAGCATCGAGAAACTTGGCGGCCAACACTGGCGGACTGAGGCTTGCAAGAATATGCTTCTCAGCCCTCTCAATGCAGCCAGAAAACATTGTGAGGATTTAAAGCTAAATGTGGATGGTGAGATTAACCCGAGAGAGCTCTATTTCTGCAAAATGGATAGCTGCATATCAGGCTCCAAATGTTATTTCTCCTCTGTTAGGGACTCAAGATGTCATTGTTGTGGAGAGCTTATGGACAAAGTTGCGCTGTGGGAAAAAGTTGAAACAATTGAGGATGGAGTATTTGTTAAGAAAAATAGCGTCAAGTTCATAATAACTGATAATTTTCTTATCAAATCAGTTTCAGTGTTACACTACTATGATATACTAAAAGAGTTTGGAGTAGAAGATTTATTTCTCATAGAGGAAAGGACCTTAAAATTTGGAAGAAAAGAGGTATTCCTTTGATTTTATTTTATTTTATTTTTAAAATTTATTTTGGGCTCTTAATATCATATTATTTGCTCCAGAAATTTTTTAACTTTGGGGGGATAATTTTTCAGCTTTTGGATCTGCTGAAGAAATTCGTAGAAGGAAATGGAGTGCTGACAAAAATTTGTTTCCCTGATTTGTGCATTCGACGTAGTACCGCTTTATATAACGATGAAATCGAGATGAAAATTTTTGAAAGCAAATACAACACACCGCTTGAAACATGGAAGTTACATATCAAACTCATCATTAATAGAATAAATAACAATGTGGTGTGTGCGGAGTTAGGAGAAGACTTTGTTGATCAATTATTTAGTTTTCTCACATTTCCACTTGGCTTAGTTTTAAAGCTCATTGGTAGTTCCAAATCCTTAGGATGCGTGACCAACTTATACAATAGCATTCAAGAATTAAAAATTAATTGCTTCAAGTCAGAAAAAGAAAAAAAAATGTTGATATCACCGCAACTTGCTCCCTTTTTTGGACACAACAAACAAATGCTAAATATAAATATAGAAATTCCAGAATTAGGAATTCCTAGGAATGGTTGTCGCAAGTGCTACTGGGATGACAAAAAAGTACCTTGTAATACTATGTGTGAACATGGAGTACTTCAATCCTACTCTAAAGAAAGTGATCCAAAGTTAGCCAAATCTGACAAAGATTTAAATGGAGGATTTGTTAGAAGGCCTCAAATTTTTTTGGTGACAGATGACCTCCATGTTACTCCAACATCCCTTTTATCTTTCAAACAAATCTTAACAAGCCAGGGGCTTCATGTAGACCACCTTGAGAAGAAGGAGATAACAATTGGAAGGGCTCAGGTGAGGTTTATCCATGATAATGCTTAATTCTAAGATATTTGTAAGTTTAAGCTTACTTGTTTTGGATTTTTGTCTTAATTATGTTGCAGGTTTGTGCTCTACTTAAAGCCATGCTGATCTCCAAAACAGCACTTAGTGATGCACTCTCACCTTATGACAAGTAGGCAATGTGGAATAGTTTTTTGTGCCTTTAGACGGGCATTTTTTGAGCTAATTGGGAATTGCTACTCTGTTGAATTGATAAGAACTCGATAATTAGTAGTTTTTTCTCTAACTAATTTGTGGCAATTATGTGATATATTTTCAGTTCCATGTTTGGATTCAGCCAATTTCAACCATTTATTTTTATTTGTTTATAAGTTTAATATAGTTTGAAAATAAACACACTTATCATTTTTGTGGTGATTAGCAGGTTCTTATTGACGCATGACCCTTGATAAAATTTATTTGATTTAATGTAAAATAGATTATTAAAGTATTTCAAATATATAGATTTTAAAAATATTTATATTTTCTCTGAAGTAAAAAAATTTGAAGTGTTTGAAATTCATCATCTAGTTTAATTTTGGTGAATTTGAATATCATTAAATTTTACTAATTTCTAAGTGCATCTTTATTTTTTTGCCATTGCCACCGCAAGACAGCAATGCTGCACTTTATGTCGCTCACCTATGGTTGTCATAGCCATTGTAGCTCGCATTGCCCACAGCACTCCATAAGTTATTGCCACCGTCACCATCGTAGCCCACTAGCTACTAGTCGTTAGCATTGTTGTGCTTTACACTGTATTCATTTTACTGAGTCAAATAAAAAATTGTAATAATATGCATTTATTTTATGCTAATCCAAACAATTTCAAAATTTTCAAATATACTACATTTTTTTTTAACTCAATTCCATTTTACTTTTTATTCCTTTTTCATTCATTCAAATGGACTCCAATAACACTTATTTTTAGGTCCAAAAAAATCCTTATCAACATTAAATAATTTATTTAAATTTTAAATTATACATCACAAATATCTATGAAATATATAAAAATAAATAATTTGATATCCGTTAATTTTATAATCTTAGATATTTTTAATTTATATTATTACATACGTTGTGTTTTAATTTATTTTATGTATTATTCTAAGCAAGAATTTGCATTGATATCTAAGGTCATTTTTCATGAAATAAAAGATTGTTTATTTGATTTTCAAGAAAAAAATCGAAAATAAAAAATACTTCCAATACTTTGCAGCTTTTTGCTCTTTTATTATAATTATATAGGGATTTATTACTCTTTAGATTTTTTTTCTGCTTTTAATTGTAGCTTTTTGAGCATGTTCTGAGTGGTGGATACTTTTAAAGACTGATAATCTTTTTTGATATTAATAGGTAAGTCTTCTGTGGGTTTTAACGAAAAAAATGTTAAACTCACACAACATCACATACATAAGATTCAAATTCAAGACTTTTTGATTGATAGCGAAAGCTGAGTGCAAATGAATCATTTGTATAGTTACAATGCTTTTAGAAAAGCAATGAGAATCTTATATGAGTTCTATGTATAAGAAAAAAAATTGTTCATAGATTTTTCAAAATTTTAGCTCCTCTAATTACCTATTTTTGTCTAATTGATTTCAGAGCTTTGTAAGAAATGATACAGTGAATCTATGGGAGAAATATATGCTAAAACTAAAACAGAGAACAATCAATAATCTCTTGGCAAAATATAATATTCTTCCTATCCTCTTCTTACATATTACTCTTCTTCATATCCTCTTCTTACATATTACTCTTCTATGTAGGGTTGTACCGGTCTAATTCGGAGCTGGCCCGACCCGAACCTGACCCGTTTGCGCAAACGGGTCACTTTCTTGGACACAAACCCGACCCGTTTTGGATCGGGTCAAATCGACACGACCCGCCCCGCCCCGCCAACCCGGGTTAGAGGCCAGGAGAACGTGTTGAGCCGCGGGCGGTGACATCACGGGCTTTACTTCAACCTTCGTCGATGGTGGGCTGGAGCGGATGACAGTGATGGCGGAGACGGCAGTGACGACGACTGCAACAGAGGCTGCAAAAGGCGGAGGCAGTGACGGTGGAGCAGATGGGGGATGGCGGCGATGGCAGAAGCTGCGACATCAGTCTGACAGAGGCTGGGCGGTAGAGGCCACGGAGGAGGATATCATGAAGTTGGTGAAGACTGAAGAGGCAACTGCGGGCTATCAGCGATTTGTTTTTTCCTCCACACCAATCGTTACTGCTTCTACTTGGCTTATAGTAGGTTTTGAAAAGGTTGTAAATATGCTTCTTCACCTCACATTGTTTCTGTCGGATCAGAAGCCGTCAGGGGCGGAACTAGCCTTAATTCTTAGAGGGGGCAAATCCATAAAAAAATTAAAAATATATATATAAAAAACTTTAAGCTTCTTCATGATGGTAGAGCAATTTGGATGATTTAAGCATTTGTTTGAGACATTTTTCTTACTACTTTGTAAGCAATTTTTTAGTAAAAAAAAAATCTAATTCTAAAAAAAATAAAATTGTAGCAACAAGCTGCTTTAAAAACTCTAAGGAAGTTGTTCCGAACGAAGTATTGGGACAACTTTCTTAATTCTTACTGTTTTTAAAGCAATTTTTAGTATAAAAATGTTTAATTCACAAAAAAAATTATACTAAAAAATTACTTTACAAAATAACAAGAAAGCCATCCCAAACGAATTCTTAGACTTTATTTGGGACGACTTTTTTATTGTTTTTTTAAATAGAGTTTTAGTATAAAAATTAAAAATTTTGTACTAAAATTATATTTTAAGAAGCAATTAAAAAAATAGTGTCAAACTAAATCGTACTGTGGCAGGAGAAAAATAAATTATCATATTTCAAAAAAAAAAAAAAAAAAACTTTTTAAGAACTGCCTCGCTTTGAGCATTATAGGACGGTTCTTTGCCGTGTTGCGATGCTAAATAGAATCATTTTTTTATAAATAAATGTTAGAACATTTTATATCTAAACTACATCAAATTTATACTTAGTAAAATACGGACTTAGGTTGAGACTAAGAAGTCTATTTGTCTTGCCCCAATTCAGATGCACCAAAACTATAAATTTATTTATTCGCTTAACTTTAAAAAAGAAATGTAATAAAAAGGGATGGAATGAAGTCTAACGTGGTTGATGATTGGGAGCTTTTGTTTCTTTTTCATTGGCTCGTGATCTGTCCAACACAGTTCCCCATTGTAAATTTCCCAAATTGTCCCCATTATAAATATTTTAATTTTTTTAGGGGGGGCAATTGCCCCCTGGGCATAAGGCAGTTCCGCCATTGGAAGCCACTACCTTTATACTAATTTTAATAACTATTTAAAGTTTTTTGCAGCACACCTTGGGCTGTTGGTTGAGAGCTTATGCTTCCAACTAAAAGGTCTTGAGTTTAAGTCTTTGTGTATGCCTTGTGTGTGTAAGTTTGACCTAAATGTCCCAAAAGAAAAAGTTTTTTGCAGCTTTATATAGAATCAAATTTCTTCAAACATAGTTTTCCTGAATCCTTCAATCAGAATTTTGTAATGTCCTTACAAAATGCTAAATGTTTTGTTTTATTTGGCTATATATATCTTATCCTGCTAGTTGTCTTCAACTCCAGCAAACCTTCATGCTACATCTTCTTCTGCTCTTGAATCTCTCACTTGGTTTTTATTTGTTTATTTTTTTTGTTTTATAGTAAATGGCTTGACAACCATACTACAGGAGAAGGATCATCTAAATAGCGCTTATAGTTTAAGGTAAATTGAGTTATATTTTTAATTTGTTACGCTTTAAATATATTACATTCATTTTATCCATTGTGCTCAAGAAAATAAACAACGCTGCCCGCTTAGAGCACTAAATACAGGTGGTGGGACAGTGCAAAGAAAAATAGCAGGCCTCGAAAGGTGAGCAGAAAAAATGGTGAGCTTAGGAGTTAGGACTTGGTCAGGGAAGGCAATTCGACTGCTTCGAATGGAGATATGGAGTTCGGACGACAGTGGAGAGGGCTGTTGGGTTCCCAAAGCTTACCCTGATATAAATTGTTTGTAAGATTGCTTCATTCTCAGTTTTTTTTTTGTCAAGATATTGTGTGGCTTTTCATGTTCTGATTGTACATTTAGGATGTTTTTTGTCATCTGTATATATTTTTTTAATTTCCGCTAGACAAGATTGGCTTTTGTGCTGTTTTGATCCTAACAATTCTCAATTAAATGCTGGTATTTAGTTCTACGAGTCCCCAACGGTCACCGGAGGAGAAGTATTTAGTGTGTTGAAAACAGCATTATAGCACTAGCAACAGAGGCAATAATCTTTTCTCTGTACGACAGATACCCAACCATCCATGGCTGATGAGAAAAGATTATCTTTGAATGCCTGGGTGGACAAGGACAAGAAACGTGTGGTGTTTGCAGAAGCTGACAGCGACTTTGTCGATGTACTCTTTAGCTTCCTGACTATACCTCTCGGCACCATAATAAAGCTCCTCTCCAACAACTCCGGCTTGGGATGCATGGACAACCTCTATGACAGCATCAAGCAGCTTAGCGACCAACACTTCTCCACCGAGGCTTGCAAGAATATGCTACTCAGCCCTTGCAGCGCTGCCGCGGAATATAGTGAGAAGTTAAAACTCAACGTTTATGACCCAAGAGAGTTATATCTTTGCAAAATGGATGATTGCATATCACGCACCAGATGTTATTACTCTTCGGTTTGGCAAACAAGGTGCTATTATTGTGACAAGTTTATGGATGAAGTAATGCAGTGGAAAAATGATGGAACAATAGATGCAGTATTTGTTAAGAAGAATGACACCAAGTTTATGATCACCGATGATTTTCATGTCACACAATCTTCCGTCAAAGAATGCTATGATCGACTGAACGATTTGGATGTAAAAGATATAAATCTCTTGGAAGAGTGGATATTGGAATTTGGAAGAGAAGAGGTATTTTTTTTTCTTTTTTCAAAAAGTGTTTTTAACAAAGATATCTAGTTTTGATTCTTTATAAAAATGATAAGATTGTTTAGACCCTTAATACTCAAATCAATGATATTTAATTTTGTCCAACATTATTTGATTGTTTCAATTGATGTTTCATTTTGTTTATTTTTTGTTCTTCGTACACAACATAAATTTTCTTACTTGGCCGAGTGATTTTTTCAGCTCCTGAATTTGCTCAAGGAGTCCCTAAAAACAAAGGAAGCATTGACAAATATTTGCTTCCCTGATTTGTGCATTCAATACACCAGCCCTCAATGTAACAATTGGATGGAGATGATAACGAATAAAAGCAAAGACAATGCAGAATTTGAAATACAGGAAATGCTAATCAGGCTAATCGTGAATATAACCAACAATAAGGTGGTGTGTGTAGAGGTAGGAAAAGAGTTTGCTGATCAGTTATTTAGCTTCCTCACATTTCCACTTGGCTCCGTGTTGAAGCTCATTGGTTATTCTGATTCCTTTGGATGCATGAACAACTTATATGACAGCATTCATGAATTAAAAATTAAATACTTCAAGTCAGAGGAAGCCAAAAGCATGCTGATATCACCAAAACTTGCTCCCTTTTTTGGATACCGCAAACAAATGTTATATATGGAAGAATCGTCTCCATTAGTCCCTAGTTCTTTATATGGTTGCCAGAAGTGCTATTGGGATAACAATAATTCACCCTGTAGTACTGTTAGTTGCAAGCATGGAGTGCAACAGTCACACTTCATAGAAATGGATCCAATGCTAGCCAAGGCAGATACATACATGGATGAAGGATTTGTTAGAAGTGATCAAAATTTTCTGGTGACAGACGATCTCCATGTTACTCCAATGTCCCTTTTTTATTTCCTCCAGATTTTAAAAAGGCAGGGGTTACATGTTGACCAGCTTGAGTATGGGGAAATGGTTTTAGAAAGGGCTCAGGTGATTATTCTCCATGGTTATGCTAAATTCCAAGTTGCTTGTAGTATTATTGTTTTTGTTAGTTTGATTTTCTTTTGTTTTGTTGTATTAATTATATTGCAGGTTTATAATCTGCTTGAAGCCATGTTGGTCTCCAAAACAGCACTCAGTGATGCACTTTCTTCTCGCAAGTGGAATAGTGGAATTGTGTGGCGATTATGACCAGCTTTTACTTTTGTTTTTTCATGTAACCATGAATATATAAAAACAGACTTCAGTCTATAACTCTTCTTGATCATTAGTTGCTTCTAATGATTGTTGAATGTTGTTAAATGCCTCTTGTTAGGTAGGTTAAGGCTTCATTTGAGATAATTTTTTTATTGATTTCTAAAGCAAATTTTAAATAGAAAAAATTTGAGTTTAAAAAAAATTTGTATTAAAAATCTACTTTAGAGAGCGGTAAGAGAGCTGCCTCAAACAAAGTCTGACTTTAATCATAATAATTTGAAATATAT